CTTGACCTTTGCCTCACGGATAGGGCCGAACGTTCCCTGCGTTGGACGAAACAGAAATTCTACACGAAGGGCAACAAACCCGACTCTATGCTAGCCAAACGCCTGCGGACGTTTGATAGTGTCCCAACCCTAATCTCCCTCCGCACCAGGCTGGCCGCCCGCCCTAGTGACCCCACAAAAATCCTATCTGAATTCCACCACCATCTCTCCAAGATTTACTCGACCCCTTCCGCCTCCTCACTCGATACTATTCGCGAATTTCTCTCTCGAATTACCCTTCCAGATATCCCACAAGCCAGTAGGGACCTCATGGAGTCGGAAATCTCTGCCATCGAAGTCCAACAAGCCATTAAGGCCTTAAACGGGTAAACGTCCGGGCCCGGATGGCTTCCCCGTCCTTTTCTATAAAAAACCATCAGAAGATTTATCCCCCAACTTGGCCTCCCTCTTTAATGGTCTCCTGAAGGGGGACTGCATGTCCCCACACATGCTCACAGCTAACGTTGTAATGATACCTAAGCCAGATAGAGATCCCCACTCCTGGACCAATTACTGCCCCATTTCCTCAATAAATGTAGACGTTAAGATCCTTTCTAAAATTCTCACCTCCCGCCTTAACCAATTTTTAGGGTCCCTGATCAAAAAAGATCAGGTAGGCTTCATGCCATCCAGACAGGCCGGGGTCCGGCGGGCCCTACACCTGATGCATTTAGCCAGGCCAAGCTTAAGTACTGTGGCTTTGAATCGTCTCTTTGCCCTTGCCCTCGAACCCTTCTCCTGGCAGATATTTCCCATCTCCTGGATAGGGAGGATCCATGCAGTGAAGATGACCTTCCTGCCTAAGTTGATTTACCTGTTTCAGGCCCTGCGGATCCCCATTCCTGGCCATATTTTTCGCATTCTTCAACGCAGGATACTCACATTCATATGGGGCAACTCCCGTCCCCGTATCAACCAAAAACTGTTATATCGCCCCAAACTCTGTGGAGGTCTTGCAGTCCCTAATCTTCGAGCGTACTATACGGCTGCCACCATTGCTCCCTTACCCGTTTTACATTCCACAACCGAACTCCCACTATGGGCATGTTTAGACATGGTGGACTGTCATCCCCTGCCCCTCACATCCCTGCTACGGCTTTCCCAGACTGACCGCCCCACTAATCTTAGCCCAATCCTTAGACACTGCCTGAAGGTTTGGGACGGAGTTCGGTACTCTGGCAATCTGAGGTCACCTCACCTCCCTTTACTACCCTGGCTCAACTCTCCATTATTCCCACTTGGTGCCAACGACCCTCACTCGTTCACATGGTGGTGCCGCAATGATCGGACCACTGTACACTCCCTCATCTCGCTCTCCGGTGTGAAATCGTTCCAGCAGCTCCGTACCAATAGATCCATCCCACTCCGGGAATGGTTCCACTACACCCAAATAAGCCACTTCATTAATTTGCTCCTGAAAAACACCTCAGCTCCGTCGAGAATTACCCTATTCGAGCACTGCTGCAACTCAGATCCGCACGCCAGAGGTGTCATCTCTTTGATCTACTCTTCTCTACTATCCTCCACTTCTACCACCCTTGCCCCTCATCAGCGTCAGTGGCATGAGGACTTGGGCAGATCCCTAACCCTTGAGGACTGGCAGCATACCTGGTCAGCAATAGCTCGTTGCTCCCACAACGTACTCGCACTCGAGAACAAAGTGATGTACCGTTGGAATTACACGCCTGCCCGTCTGGCAAAATACATTCCCTCCTACTCTCCGCACTGCTTCCGGGGCTGTGGCGCGTCGGGCACCATGATCCACATTTGGTGAACATGCCCCCGGGCGGCAAGCCTCTGGAATCGGGTCTACGATTTACTCAACTCTTTTCCAACTCACCCTAACAAAGGAACCGTGCGAGGCATTGTTACTACAGCAATTCCACAGTTCACGTGTTACCAGAAACACCTTGTGTCCCACATCTTTGTCGCCACCAAAATGACAATCGCCAGAGCGTGGAAAACTCCGACCCTGAGCTTCAGGGAAGTTAAAAATCGCCTGGATGATATATTGGTGAACGAGAAACTGATGGCGGTTCAGTCCGACCCTCACAATCGCTTCCTATTGATTTGGCAACCTTGGATCGATTACTCTAAACCACCATTCTTCGATCCACAGCTTCTATCCATTTAGAGGCTCTGTACTTCCCGCCTCCCCCTGGAACCCCTTCCCAGCGTACCACCATCCCCTGTCCTACTCTCCTTTTGTTCTTTCCCACACCTGTTCCTCCCCTCCTCCATTTCCATGTCCTCTTCCTTTAACCCCCTATACTGACCTGTGCTGTTCGATGTCCTCCGTCTTATCAGAACCAGATGTCCCGGTGTAGTGGGCCGTAAAACCTCATTGACCTCGGCTCCACGATACCCAGACACCGGACCTGATAAGCCCCCCTATGATGCTCCTTTCCATGTTATTTAGGGTCTTACTCACTAAAACAGCAATGCCCCCTTCATACTCCCAAATTGTTCTTTGGCACTTGTTCCACTGCTTCTGTTATACAGTCTGCAGGGCTGCACAACGTTGTGGCTGTATGTTTTCTGTTTATGTTCCTTGTTGCAGGGCTTGCATGCCCTATTTGTTATTTTTGTAACCTTTAATGCGAAAAAAACCGGACAAAAACCAAATAAAACCTTTGTGAAAGAAAAAAAAAGTATAAAAACGAAAATCTAACACTATGGAGCACTGTTGTTCACTGGCACCCGGTTGTCTGGTTTCAAAAATGGCACTCGTGTGTAAAAGGTTGCTGACCCCTGCTATAGATAAAGTTTGCAGCTGCTCCGGTAAGGTTCTTAGTTGACCAATAGGATGCCTTGCTGTACAAAGCTACCTGTGCCTGCCTGATGCTGGACAGAGGATTCCTTCAGTAAAAAATAGGTAGGCATACTCAGTTAGGCCCATTATCGCAGATAAAAAGCTGGCCAATTTTAAACGGCTGTATCCTCTGAAATCTCATAATTCTTGCAGTAAAGCTTGAGCCTGTGCTTTTGGTCTCTGGTAAATTAGGTATAGCTTGCAATATACAGCTGTCCTGCTGCTGCCCAATTTTACACTGCTGCGTCTTCTGCAACCCATATCATTCCTGTAGGTAAAAACCTGCCTGTACTCTGACATTTTGGCAGTTTAAAAGGGGGACAATCTGGTGATCGTGCCGATAGCCGCAGTCCCCACAGAGGCGACATAAACTAAGTGACCACTTGGTGAAGCATCGGTTTTATCTGTTTAAACTGAATCTAAAATCAAATCATTCTTTTGCCGACCCTACTCAGCAACTAGCATCTTATATGTATGATGCTAGTTGCTGAATAGGGTCAGCAAAATTATTCGATTTAGATTATGGAAAACAGCATGTTGCTTTTTTACATTTATGTGATGGTGCATTATATGGCTTATTAGGTATCTGAAAGGATTGTGAACACAATCTGCTTCTTGATGATCATGAGGACTGGTGAATTCATGCTACAAAAAAAACAAATACAAGCAGACTGGGCCTTCCATCTTCCTTGATCCCTGGGTCACCACCGCAGATCAGACAGGGGGATGGCATGAGAGATGATGCTTCTTATCTACTAAACAAGGATCCATGTTGACCCCGACACCCAGTGTTGGGTTAGTAGCAAATGAACTGCCAATATTATATGGCTAATTATGTGTTAAGTATATTGAATATAATCAATGCTGTGACAATTGCATAATTATGCATTTAGGTTAGATGTGCTTCCTCTTTGGGAAGGAGGGTGGCCTATCAGCACAAAGGCCTATAAAAAGGCGAGCCACTGAGAATTACCGTTATACCAGATAACCAATTGTTATCCATATGTCCTCTTTATTCTTTTTGAGCAGGTATATGTCTGTAATGTGGCTGCATTAGGCGAACTGAGAAATGTGTTTACTTTCAACAGGTTTTTAACCTTTTGGAAACAATATTATGATTCTGTATAAGTAAAAAAATATGCTTTCATTATAAAACATATGCAATTGTGGTGTGCCTCTTTAAACCCCAAAAATTGTTGGTGTGCAAATTATCTCAATTAGGGGGTGAGGTGCCTTTCACATGGAGAGAGACTGGGGTCTGTGTCGTGTAGCATTATAAAATGTTATAGCGCTGTGAATTGTCCACAACAGATGCCAGTTGATTTAGGAGAGCACCCAAACATCCAGACTGCTGTTGCCCTTTTGCCTGGAGAAACAATTAGGTGGCCAAAATGTCAGAGTGGCACCACACTAAGCCCAGCAAATGCATAAAAGCTCATACAGTACCTAGGTCAGGATTTGTAATCCTTTTCAGCCAGTGGTGTGATCACACACTTCTGCCACACTGCATACCCAAGCATGTGCCTAAACCTCTTTGTTGAGTTCTGCATTTTTAATTACCATGCTGTTTTACTGTAAATTAACCGAGCAAACAGCATTGCCTGCCTGTGCACTGTGTCAGGGGTGTACGTATTGTAAGAGTGGTTGAGCAAAGTTGGTAAAGCAGCTCACATAAGTATTTGTAACTGTAGTTAGGGATGCGTGAATGCCTCCATCTACTTAAAATCACAGTTTGCGAATTAAGAATATAAAACAGGTTATCATGATAATTATAAAAAGATGTATGAGCTGTTAACACTTTTTTTTACAGTGTCTGGAATCCTGATGCCAGTAACAATCTTCAACTCTTATTGAGTCAGCACATGTAGGACAGCTCCTAATCAGCTGACACAGTATCATATGTAAATTGCTGTGCAGCAAAGCACTCTACACAATGTACATAGAGGACTAGAATAAATGAGGTGCAGTGCTGACCCACAATGCATGTGTATACGAGAACCTACATGGGGAAAGCACACAGCAATGCTGAAGGGAGTTTTATATTCCAAGCATTAATCTCTAACTGATAGGTCTGCCTTAATAGCCAATCTGTCCACATCCACACACTAATCAAGAAAAGTAAAAACACGATGGACTAAAGCTTTTGTACATTTTTGTTTACTTTAGCAGATCTTTCTGGGGGAGCCATGTAGGTTTTTCAGTAAACATTTAACATTTGGTGATAACCTAACAGATCACAAACATATCTATAGGGCAATATATACACATCTAAGAGCAAATACAAGATAACACAAAAAGCCTACAACATACTCTGTCCAGACAAGCCATCAGCTGGGCAATGGGGAAAAAGCACTTATTAACCATTTTTACTACCCATCAATACAGTGCATAGGAGCTGCCGAGTAGTTAACCTGACCACATGTTAGTCCTTTAGAGAACTGCGAATTTAAGCTGAAGTAAGGTGCTTGTGGTTGTATCAGATTCTGGCTTCATCCCCAGGATTGTGACCCAAACCGTTCCCTCATGACCATTGCTTTATTCCGTGAAAGGAATTACACGTTGCTCAGAGCCTCAACACCAGGAAGGACTTTACCTGAAAAGGAGTAGAAAAAAAAATAAACATTTTTATAAATATTAACATTTTACAATATAATAAAAAAGGATGTCAACTGCACTCTGCTGGTATTTGAGATTCTGCCATCTGTATATCAAACGGCAATTCTGCTACTACCCCGTTTCCCCGAAAGTAAGACCCATCACTATTTTTAAAGATTCCTGTAATATAAGACCTACCCTGAAAATAAGACCTAGTTTGGTGGTAGCATGCGAGGGGGAACTTGAAGAGCAGGAGAGATGGTATCAGCCTGCAGGGACATACTGTATTAAGGGGATGACCGGGGACTCCCTCCGGCCAGCGCAGTGACAGGGAGCACTCCAGTACCATACTTCACCAACTGCTGTCCCCCTGAAGGCACTGTAATGGTACCAGTAAATGGTACCATACTTTACTGTGCTGTCCACTGTCTGATGTCCCCACTGCTGCACCGCTGGTACCACTGTCCCTGATGGCAAAGCATGCCAGCGCTGTAGAAAGCAAGGCTGCGGCAGTGGAGGGAGCAGAGCTGCATTCGCAGATACTTCCTCTATAGCACCAGTTGCTGTGACAGGCGGAGTGATACCAGATAACTTTTGGATTGTTGTACATTTTGTTGCACAGTAAAAAAATAAAAAAAAATAAGACATCCCCTGAAAATAAGACCTGTGTTTTTTTGGGGGGCAAAAAAAAATAAAGACAGCGTCTTATTTTCAGGCAAACACAATAGATCAGTCTCATCAGTAGCACCGCTAAAGAGGATACAGAATTGCTCTGTAGGCCAATTCAGCAAGAGGTGGCCTTGTCATTTGTGCCAACACTGCTGAATCTCGCTGCCTCAGCTGCAGAGGGGAGAACAGGCAGCCTCTTCAGTGCAAATCCCTAGCAATAGGGTCACCCTCCGATATCAGTCTTAGAAGCTCAACGCAACAGGCGGTAACAATGCAGGCATGGACACACACACACACACACACACACACCACACACACCACACACACCACACACACACACGGAAAAAAAATATCCGATTCCATGAGCCACCACATAGGACAGGTATGCTGCAGTACATTTCGTTCTTAGCTGTCCAGTAACTCAAGTCATTACCTTCAAGCAGTTCCAGGCTAGCACCTCCTCCAGTGCTGACATGGCTAACTTTGTCTTCAGTGTCCCACTTTGCACAGCAGGTTGCAGTATCTCCACCACCTGTGGACAGAGATCAAATAATTGCATTTGCAGTATGGCCTATGGTGAATTTCCTGCCCAGGGGACAAGCCATGTACAGTCAACCAATGTTTAAGTCTTTAACCCCTTTGTGTCCATTGACGTACATAGCAAGTAATTGGCAGCTTGCCCATTTATAACAAGACTCGACGGTTTCTGTTTACAATTGTAAAGCTGGCTGTCGGCTTTACAATAGAATAGATTCTGATGGCTTAGCGGCCTCCAGATTGCTTCGACAGGCCCGTAAAGTGTATGACTTCTAATATGCATTTAGTAGCTTTGAATGTCCAAGTTCTGTTCTTCCAGTCTCGCCTTAAAAATGCAGACCACATTAACAGCATCTATGGAGTCTTAGAGATTAAACTTATTTAACACTTTGGAAAAGTTCCTTGATGTGATCATGCAGTACAGTTAATGCAGCTAACTCTTCAGCTGGATTAAACCAGTCCTCCATACTTGTGTCATCACTTAGTTAAAAGAACTATGACCCAACCTTTTTTGGCCATAGTTCTCCATTGACTGCTATATGCTGACAGAGCAGAGCCACACCGCAGCCGAGAGAGATCACAATTTAGTTGGGATCCACTCTTCTGCCTGATTTGACAGCTGGCTCTGCCTATTGAGACAGCCAGCTGTGCCCACCCCATCCCCCGTTCGTTCCTCCAGTCCGCACTGGAGGAACAGAGGGGAATCACTGTGGGGAGCAGTAACTGTCAGTCACGGCTCCGCAGGGAGAAGATTGGGAACCGAGTGATCAGTGGTATATGATCGCCAAGTTCACGATCAATAGAGCAGACAGTGACAGTTTGTGTCACACGTCAGCTCCAATTATGGGGATGTGCACTTTGCTCCCCATAATTCCCTTTAAGTAGCTACAGCCGCAACGTTTGGATAGTATGGGGGCTGTGCAAAAAAAAAACCTGGCTTTCTACCATTCATGAAATATCGGAAACAGATACTGTACGTTATTATTTTACATTACATGGTTTTTAAAATGCATTAAACAAATGTGGAAAGTGAATACAAAAACGGGCATTTCTCACCAATGATGGTAATGCATCCTTTGCTTGTGACTTCCACCACCTTGTCCATCACTGCTTTAGTTCCTTTAGCAAACTTTTCCCACTCAAACACACCAACTGGACCATTCCAAACAATCTGCTTAGCTCTTCCCACAGCTTCCACGAACAGCTTTGTGCTCTCTGGCCCGCAATCAAGACCCTGCATGAGAAAAATGGTAAAGATTAGAAAATGCCCATTATAGTGTTGAGCAATGCTTAAGCCCCGTTGCCTTTAACTGCTTAACCGCTTCAAGACCAGGTGTTTAGACCCCCTTCCTGGCCAGGCCATTTTTCAGTATTCAGCGCTGCGGTACTTTGACTGACGTTTATTCCGTCATGCAACGCTGTACTGAAATTAATTTGGTGGTATTTTTTTGGTGGTATTTAATCACCACTGGGGGTTTTATTTTTTATTATAATTAGGAAAAATTACTGAAAATTTTGAAAAAAAAAAACGTTTTAACATTATGTTAGGAAACATTTATTACCCAGTTTTTTGGTCAAATATAAAAGATCGGGTCACGTCGGTTAAATAGACACCAAACATGTCAAGCTTTAAAATTGCGCGCCCCCGCGACATCGCAGAAGACGACCGCAACCAAAATTAGCCAT